TTCTTCACACCCAGTCATGGAAAATAGCTGAAAATCCTCCCTGGACCACAAATGTTCTGGAAGATTTCCACGTTTATTGAGCTTGTTAACCTTCATGGCTAAAGGTAGTCTCTTGTGGATTTGGGTTTTCCACAATACAGGGCGGGCATGGGACAGCCACATGGACTGTTGGTAGTCACACACAACACTTGGTCCATTTTCTCTCCAACCTCATTTATTTTTTTACTTTTTGGTCTTTGGGCATTGCCTCTTCCCCAGGAAAATCCATGGCATTTCCTCTGTAGTCCATGCTTTGCAGATCAAACTATAAAGACATGGAACACACCAAAGTTACTATGGAAACAAGAATCTAGGAGAGGAGAGACGAGGAAAACAACAAGGCCAAAAGAGGTTATTGAGCAAAGTTCAGAGTTGATCTGTGGAACATTAGTAGCCAACAGAGCTTATGTAAACCAGATTTCCTGGGAACACAAAGCAACAAAGTGTTGGAGGAGAAAGAAGACTTGCTTCTCCTTGCAGGGTAGCAGCACTGCACCAATCCTGTCTTTGAGAAATCAAATGTGTGGTTGCATTTAGGCAACAAAGGGAACAACATGTCCTTATTATGTTGATAGATAAAATAATCCAGCCACAATAATTATTAGCTGTTTCCATTATACAGTAAATCTGTTATAAAATAAATTCCAGGCTGTCAGTCAGATCTTAGTTTGTTATCAAATCTTAGTAATGTGTCATCATCCCACATTGATTGTCAGTGAGGAGTTTCAGCTCCGTTTAAAGCAATTTAGGTGCTGACAGATGATTCTCTCTTTGAGCATTTAGATGTCTAAAGGTACTATTAGACGCTATTATTTATTAAGTGCAGATATGCTGACGAAAACTGAGCTGGAAAAGAAGCAAACATGGGAACCGTGTATCCCGATTTTAAGATATCAGACTAGACTCTGTATAGAAATCTGTTTTAATTAAGCCATTTTCTAAAGTGGGTAAAAGAAATTGAATCTTTTTTATTTAATCTCAGGACAGACACAGTCCCACTGACAATGAAATTTCATACAATACTGTAATCACATCGATGTTATGATTAATTTGCCAAACTGGAAACCTGATCGCCGCATGAGGAGGTCTGCTCTTCTAAAAATATTTTCCTGTGTCTGCAGAAGAAGATTATCTATAGGTGACCATCTCTGTGGATACATGGGATGGGAAGTTATACAGTGAAGTAAAATAAGTAAATTAAAAGACAAGTTCATTTACAATTTAGAAGAGATTTAAATCAAAATGAATATTGGAAAACATTTTGGATGGAACTATATTTAAAACATCAAAAACATTCCCACGTTTATACACATTTGTAGCTGTGTCACTACAAAATGAAAGATCTTTAGAGGGGAAACAATTATTAGACCAGTTCTATCTTGGACAATCCAATGATTTTATGAGTTGTGCTTGATTCTTAGAATTAATTAGGGATTTTTTTTTTTCTGTCTCACAGAGAAAGTAATCCCAGCTGTAGTAAAGTCCCATTAGTAGCAGCCATGGTTTCACTGCAAAAACACAGACAACAAATTTAGTGGTTACATAAGTTTTCTCATGTTTGAAAATGTCTCACAAGGTTTGTGTGACTGACGTTTTTATGTCGTATGAAATTAAGAACATCCCCATGTGGCAGCGGAGAAAGATTAAACTCAAAGTACGACCACAGGCCGACCAAGCCACATTAAACTGTCACAGAGACAAAGGGTAGCCCTTTATAAGTTCATTTGCAGATCTTTAATATGTTATTATACTCAAGACACTCGCAGGAAAGTCTGCGCTCGTATTGCATGCATTTCTTGAGCTTGGCAGTGCTTCTGATAAAATCTAAAGGAGCATTCGCCAACCTCTGGGACCCTGACAGCAGAGACTTCTGAGCCTGTCAGCATCTTTTGTGATCCCTGACCCCAAAAGAGAACAACATGGGCCTGATCAAAACAGCTGTGTAAGAGGATATGCAAAGTTGCGCTGCACGAAATGGCACAAAATATCCATTAAGCAGTGATTTCCCGACAATCAGCGCAGGAAAACTTATATCCTGATTTAGTCCCGTCTACGTAGAGACTGCCACAGCAATGACAGGAAAGGGGGAGGACAGCTCATTTACACAGGCTTTTAAAGCTGCACAGCAAATGAAAACATCTTTCATAGGGTGTGTTTAGAATATTCACTGCATCCTGCTTGTCCTGCCACAAATGCCGGAGTGAGGAGAGATCACTGGTGCCTGTAAATCAGGCAGAAGGAGCATAGGTAGTCATTAGTCTCAGGGAACAACTGTTTCTGGCTCATGCACACATACCTCTTACCGTCCAACACCCCCAGGCAGCCATCAATACCGCCCAGGCCGACAGGTCCCATACAACACTCGGCCGTCGCCGCCCAGGCCCAGAAGTTCACTGTCAACGGCTGACAAACACACATCTGCACAGCTGTAAATACCCTGTAATATAGAGGCAGAAACACCTCTGTGGTCTGACATCTCAATTCCGCTCTCTTCTTCTTTTTCTCTCTCCCTCTAGTCTTCTTGTCACGGTGGTTGATATCTTGATATCTGGCTCGTTTGCTGTGGGACAGTGTTTTAGTGGAAAACACCTCCGCTTTGAATCCTCGCACCTGGACACACTTTGCATAAACTGACACAAATATGAGCTCACTTGCATCAAGATAATGGAAGCAGACAGAGTGACAGATTCGGGTCAGCGGATATTGCGCTCCGTACGGTCATTTGTACGTGCCAGCTAACACCGAGTGGCGACGCTCGTCTTCTGAGGTGTGCTTGTAGTTGCTCTCTAACCGCTTTAAATCAAAAGAAACACAGGAATGTGTTACCGAGTCACATTAGATCTGACCCAGACTACAGAAAAAAACAGAAAAAACTCCACTGATGGATCGTGAAGGTGAAAACTGAGGCAGTAGGAATCTAACAATCGGTGTTGCGCAAGAAACACAACTGCAAAACAAACCAATTTAAAGCACCTTTTAAATGAGGCCTAACAAGTACAATCTAATTAGAGAGTTCCACAAGTTTCCACACCCGCCACCCACTAGGCCCATGCGAAGTAATCCTGATGTCAGTTACCCATGTGGATCACTACACACGGGAAAATCGCTTTTTACGTATGGACATAGTGGGAAAGAAGTTTACAGGGTGCTAGTGCCTTTGTCTGCGAATACTGTAGGACTCCTCTACGGGGGGTTCCTCCGCAGACTTGCTTGCTCATTACAGCAATCACATCAAATGAGCCACTTCCTTCTAGAAAGTCTGGTTACTTTCCCTGAATTTGGTTTCCTTGTTCAGCCCCTGCTGCTTCTGTCTGCCTTTCTATCACAGCAAGTCATCTTTACTCACTGGCTTTTCTCCAGTCACATGTGAAGGTCAACTCTGAGCACATTAGTATGTTGAGCGAATGTACCGACAAAGAGCTGCACACAAAACCTCTTTACGGGGAAGCACAGGACATTTTACGTCGCAGTCGTGTTGTAATAAGATAGTTTAAAAAAATAACCCGCTGGAAGAATTTGTAATAAAAATGATAAGTTGTTTGAATTAGTTTAATTAGAGTATAACTAGAGATCATTGCTAAATTATGGCATTAACAGGGCGTGGTAAATGTGTAAATAATCGTGATTTCATATCTTTCCTAAGAGTTTTCATAATCGTCCAGGCATTTCATTTTGGAATATTAGAATGTTTTTTTTTTCCTCCTCCTCCCAGTTTTCCTCACCGTCCACCACAGTGAGCTAATTAGTTCATGACATTTTAGACCCATAAAAGTGAAGCACAATAGGAGGAATTATTAAGGGCAGTGCCAGATGAATAAGTGCTATAAACAAAAGTTTGGAAAAGATTAGCACAAATTTTTGTACAAAAGTGACTCAAATGTTCATTGTTTTGTGTTGTTGCCGTGCTTCTCCAACAAATTATCTATTATTATAATGTGCAAAAATGCATTTTATATGTCTATATGTATGTTATATTTAAAAGGTAACGCTCTCCTAAAGCCTATTCTAGTCCTTCCCCGGTGCCCCTTTTGCTGTTTTCTTTTTTGGGACGATGTAGTTTGTTCTTTGCCGCTGACTGATAAATAAACTATAAACGAGCAGGGAGCGCTTGAAATATTCATCGTCTTTGTTACAAGAAACATGTGAAATCACTGTGGAGAGACACAAAAGTGTGTTCGTGTATACATATGCATATAGAGAGCGTGGAGGCAGGATAAAATGGATGTTTATGGAAAAGATGAGGAAAGTTAAATGCCCATTATAGGGGCAGTAATGGGTAATAGTGGCATATTAGGCAAGTAAATGATATATTGATTAATGCATATCTTTAACATCTTTCTACAAGTGTGGGACATATTTTCATTTCTGCATTATTTCAGCAGCTCAGCCAACATGTGATTTAAGAGGTTACTGCTAATTCAGTTAAAACAGAGGACTCCTCCATTCGTGGAAAGATCCTTATCATATCATTAGCAGCATCAAGCTCTGTGTAGGGTATTATCTACATTATTATGTAAGTCTAAATCAGGTCAGCACATTAGGTTGCATAATGCTTCGTTTTTCACGCCGATGTCTTCTCAGCTTTATCGTTTTATTCTAGGAAACCTGTAACTTGTTTGATGGCCATCTTTCACATTTTGCATGGTTTCTCCTGATGAAGCTCACTTTCTCTCTTTCTCTTCACACACACACACACGCACGCACACACACACACACATGCACGCACACACACACACACTTACACTAAACAACAGACCAGCTGGTCCTGAATCATTCTGACATCTGCATACAGTGTACAGGGACTTGTGTTGCTATATCAGGAGAGGCTCAGCTGAACTAACCCTCACCCATTCTGAACATGCCTTCTGTATGCCTGAGAGTGCAGCAATAGATTTTCTGCATATTGATTTTTTTTTTTATCTTTGCACAGAATTTGAATAAACAAGCAATTCAGGGCAAAACAGAGGCTCCGAGACAAATTTATTTAAATAACTTTCAGACAGCACTAATAATGAAAACACTACAGTACATAATAGTAAAAAGGGAATGTACAAAAATATGTCATTTTGTCAGCCAAACATAATACATGATTATTATTATTATCATAGAAATACAAATTGGTAATAAGACTAGAAATGAGCATCCTGTACATATCATATAAATATTTACAGTCATTCGAAATGAATGTGACGTCGTTACAACAAGCAAACTCTTATCTTGTATGTTTTTGCATGACTTCAGTATCTTTTATGGTCATCACATCATCAACTCTGTAGACTGGAAGTTTTATTTATTGAAGTAAATTATTAAAAAAAGGCAGTCAAAGCTGTTCAAATGACCAGTCATGTTAAATCCTTCACCTGGTCAGTAATACTGCAGCTTGAGTTTCAGTCATTTATTCTGATATTCTATCCAAAGCATTTGAAGCATTTTCGTTCTGGAGTTTTATGGAAATTAGCTTGAAAAGAAAATCCCTGAAAAAGATATTTTTCCTCTGAAACAACTGAAGTGATCTTACAAACTGTGGTTGGCAGATAAAAAAAAGAAAAAAAGAAAGTCATATCCACAATGCAATACTGTTTCAAATTGCTTGTCATGTATTTTTAATTACTGGACTTTATATTCATTGCTGGTCTTTCATACCCCATTAACTCGGAGTAAAACTTCGCTCGCTCATCTGACACTGCACTTTTACAGTTTCTTTGTCACGTCGGCTTCATCATTAAAGCAGAGAATTTCCACAGCTACAACCCTTTAATGGTGTTTTCACATCTCTTCCCTCACTGCTTCGCCGTCCTCGCCACTCGCCCTCTCTGCAGTTTGTCTCTCTCCTCTCCCCTCTCTCTGTGGTGCCTCCTGTTCCTGCTCTTCTTCATTTCCTGGATGTGTTTCCACTTGCCAACTCCTCCCAGGCCTCGTCCTCGCGCCCTCGACGACCGCTTGTCCAGCCACAGCGAATCGCAGTACTCTTCCAGGGAGCTGAAGGGAGAGCTCATCACTCTCAGGTAGTCTTTGTAACGCTGACGTGACTCCGCTCCGTGGTGCGGCTCCGCCGCCGGGTCGTCGCTCGGCTTGGGTTTTCTGTCCAGCTGTCCGTGTGTAACAAGTTGTAGCGTGAGGCGGAGGAGGGTGTGGGCGAAGTGCGTGTGCTCCTGAGCCACGCACACGTACACGCCGGCATCTGAGGCATGGAGGGAACGGATCAGGAGGCCTCGGTCAGTGTGAACAACGCGATCGTCCAGTCTGACCTGGGAGACAAAAAGAAACATACAAGAGCTACATTACAAAGGAAAAGGGTCATGAGTTGACAGCTGTGCTCTATTAGGTCAACTGGCCTTGTGCAGGAAAATAAGAGGCCTTTCCAAATTTTTTATGTAACTACAGTCGTCCTCAAATGTATTCATACCCTCCCAATAAAGAAGGAAAACAAACAGCTGGAACTGAAATAGGTTAAAATTGACAAAAGTAATAATAAATAAAAATTTTATGAAAATCATGACATTGCTTTTGAGTTGTGGTTCAACAGAAATATTTAATAAAAAAGAAAACAAGCATGATGGGACCCGTAAACTAATATTTAGTTGAACAACCCTTTGAGCCAATCACTGCAATCAAGTGTTTTCTGTAACTTTCAGTCAGACTTCTGCACCTTTTGGCCCACTGCTCATCAGCAAAGTGCCCTAATTTGACAATTTTGTTTGTTTTTTCAAATTATTCTTTTCAACCTCAATTCAAAAGCAATGACTCATTTCGCTAAATTATAATTTAGCAAATTTTATTTATTATTACTTTTTTCAGTTTCTAGTTATTTGAGTGACTACTGGGAATTTTGCCTTTTCTTTAATGGAGGGGTATAAATCTTGAGGAAACTCTGAGTCTCTCTCTCCCCTCCCAAACAATGAATCAGGCTGATTGCACATCACCACTCTCTTGATACCTCCCACTCTCTTTACACACTTGCGTTTTTCATGCAAGATTTGCATCCAAGGTGTGTTAACAAGGTAATGACCCCTGAAACAGGAAGCATATTGAATTTGGGTGCGGTGAGCATCACCCACAGCGTCGGGGAGCCAGAGGTCATTACGTGGTGTGGAGAGATATTCACATGCATAATGAGCGTAAGGCAGCAAGTGCCAGCGAGAGAGAGCGTATGCGCTTGTCGTTAAGGTGTAAGGCCAAGTAGCATGCTAATGTTTATGGTCCGCTTTTCGTTTCAGCATCCGCCGCGATTCGTCAGCTGCTGTCAAGGGCCTAAAACAACACAGCTGCATCGAGAGGGCCGGAGAGTGAGTGTCCGGCATGTGTGTGCCTGTGTGGCTGCTTCAAAAGCATACCTCCCACAGCCCCGCTCCGACCCCCTCTAGGTGCAACTGATAAGAAAGCCAGAATATTACCACGGATTTGCACAAATGTTGCGCTGTGCTGGTGCGTGTGCTTTCCAGGCCTGACACTGATGATGTGTCGTCCAGGCAGAGGCAGACCCGCCGGCCTCAGAGCCTCCCTGGACGTTGACCTTTGCACACATTAGACTCACCAGTCTGTCTCCCGTCACATTCTTTGTTTCCTGGCACACCTGACTGCCTTGACACAAACACATGGCCGGCATATTAAAAACGTAAAAAATCTCACTTGAGCTATTCTGTAAATCAGTATTTATGTGCGCCTTTTTAGACATCCCCTCTCTGCTATCCCCCAATCAAGGCATCTGTGACTAAACAGCAATGCCAGACATTTAAACTTACCCAGATGGTCTGTCTTTATTTGTGTGCCGGTGTCTGTGTGTATCTGGGTGTGTGATTAAACCAGCAAACGTAGCTTTCGAGAGCATCGTACAGCGTTCTGTGTTTGCAGACAAGCTTAGATGCACATTTGTGTGTTTGAACAATTTTAAATGCATCTGATGTAATCCAATGAAACAGGACTTTTAATAGTAGAAAAAAGCTGTTAAGCATTTCCTCAGTTTGCCTTTCGGTTAACCCGATGCCTCAAGTATTAGATAAATACCTTCTCATGCTTTTAGGAAGTTGCTATAATGAACGCTATGCATCACATTCAACATGATCCATGCTTTTCCTATTAGCAATTTTCTAATAGGCTAGCATTCCAGGCTCCAGGAGGTGAACGCACTCACAAACAGACGAACACACACACAAACACAAGCACGCTGTGAGGAAGACAGCTACATTTCTTCCAGCTCACATCTTTAATAGCTGAGTTTTACAAGGGGATAAGAAGAGAGAAAGTATTAGAGAGCGCTGCGAACAGCTGGCTGAGGATGCCTTTATCAAAACCAAAAACACAGAGAGGGGAGAGGGAGAGAAAAACAAGTGTGGGAAATTGCGAAGACGGCACGAAAGACGTGAGGAAACAAAGTGCGTGAGCTGTGGAGCGTGGAGGCAGGAAGTGAGGAGAGATTAAGGTGGGACTGATGAGGAGGGTCGAGGAACAGGGGCTGAAAAGGGGGATGACAGACGGAAGGAAACGGAGTGGGAAGAAAAGCACCGAGAGTGAGAGGTTGGAATGAGGCAGGCACTGAAATGATCACCTGCTGGCACAACTGTGAGAACAGGTAGACCACCTCGCACCGCAAGAAAGACAGACCACAGCTACAAAACCCAACCACAATGTGACATGTTTGGACCAAATAAGTGCAACAGCTCGAGATATTTTTATATTTTTTTTTGCTGATATCCAGTATGCTCATATTTTCATTCTGGCTGATACGCACACATGCAGATTTTTTTTTCCAGCTAATTGCAGAAAAAATCAGGTCTCTCTCATAGACTGTATAAAAGGTGGACGTAGCTACCGTGACGTCACCCGTTGGTTTCTGCACTGAGAAAATGAAGCCAGGGTTTTGCTACTTCCTGGTTGACATCTTGGATTTTTGGAGCCAGTGATGCAAAAATCTTCGGAGGGGGGCGGAGCCATAAGAGCAGCGATTGGTCAGACGGATTGAGAGGCGGGCCCTCTCTGCCCGCCCACATTTACCACTTTCTGCTCGCTTCGTCTGCATCGTCGCTGCCGACTGTCAATCAAGCCAGCCACGCCCCTTGCCCCGCAAAATGTTGACGATTTTTTAAAAATTCAGTATTGATTTATTTTCAGATTGGCCACCTGATCTCTGGATTTGATTATGAAAACTAATAAGAAAAAAATCCTGATCTGTAGGAATGCAGTATTTCGTGATCTGTGATCACTTCTTTTCCAATTCATTTCTATGGGAGCCAGGGCTTTTTGGAGCCAGGACTAGTGGATGTAGGGATATTGCAGGTTTTTGACACTTCCGGGTTGGCTTCATTTTTCAGGGCCGGTTGCTACGTCCATCTTTTATACAGTCTATGGTCTCTCTCTTCCCCTAGTGGAATTAAACTGGTATTATACCTACTTTTATCTTTTTGGCAGGTGCATACATAAAATGCAATACTTTTGATAAAGGGAAAGCAAATAATTTGTGTAACATTTTCAAACAAATCTGTAAACTTTTAGTCTGAGAGGCATAAAATGCTTGTCAAAGTCCATCATGAGCCACTGAAACTTCATTTTTAAACCTTTATAAATCAATACCACTGATGTCACCTCACATCCCTGCACATAACATTAGTTCTAAAAATATTTTTTGCACATCTTCAAAGCAGCAAAGCTCAGGTAAAGACACTGAAAAACATGTTGTGCTACATAGTTCAAACAAAGACGCCCACACAACAACACTGTGTCGTCCAACACCTGAAAAAATTCACTCAGGGTGTGTTTCTCTGACCTTTAGCTTCGTGTTTTTGACTCGATCTCCTTCACTTTGTGCTGACTGTCAGCTGTGTTTCTGTAGCTCAGTCTCGCACTTTCTGCAAACGTGCACGTCCCTCCAAAGAAGCAAGAATGATTGTTCACTGAATGTTATTAAATGTCAGTTTAGGTCAAGTGTATTAAGTTAACAATGTGCAATCTGTGCCTCACTTTCCTTTCTGTCCTGGCTGTTCCATCTACAAACATTGGAGACGTTCCCTGCCAAAGAATTTAATTTATTTATTCATTTAATGGCTGTTATGCTCTAAAGACGTGTTCCCCTTAAGACATTTTCTGAATCCTAATGAACAGTTTGGTTTGTTTTCTTATTCTCTCACTTTCCAAACACCAAACCAGCAGTTTTAAGTTTTATATAATGATTAACATTTGTCAGGATGACAGGTTTTCATAAAAAGTTTTTGCCGTTACCGCCCAGCCTGAGTCTGCACTCTTATTTAAATAATGGATCAGAAAGATGGAGGGGGAAAAAAAAATGTCCTAAGCTGCCAGTTAGTCCAGATGGTGGTTCTTCCTACCTTTTCCTTGGCAGAGAAGACCGTGAGATAACGTTTCAGTCACCTTGAAATGAATTTATTTGCATATTCCAATAAATCAAACCTCTCGGACACTCATCCGGACCAACAAACCCGCCGCTAATCCATCATGTTTGTTTAGCTTCCGTGTCTATCGCATGACAATCCTGAGGGAGGAAGAACTCCTGCATTCACTCCTTCATCACTTTGTCTTGAGTACAATAGGTCACATATCATCGCACGCCTAGACACACAAACACAGAAAACACCCCGTTGTGTTCATTACCCCGAAACACATGGCCGTCCCCGGGGAGTGCGCTGTTATGATTTCCGCTGTAGGTGTTCATAAAGAAACACACACACACACATGCACACAAAGAGAAAAAAAAAAACACAGGGCTCACTGCTGTGAAAGCCTGTAAAGCAACACATGGGTCTTTAGTGGCCTCTGCACCTGTCAGTGTGCTTACATTCGCCCCTGAGAGCGAGGACATGGGGACGGCGGTGGGAGTAAATCAGTATAGTGGGAAGTGGGGATGAGCAGCGAGCGGGTGGAGCGGCGAGAGGGCCACTCGCAGTGGGTGTAGGATGGTTTGTGTGTTTGGATAGGGGAGGTGGAAGGGGAGAGCGCCGAGGTGCTGAGTAAGCACGTCTCTGTTGTCTCATTCAGGAGACGAGTGTCATCATCAATGAGTTCCTTTCTACACTTCAAATACAAACACATTACCTCTCCGGTCCTTGTGTGTCTTTGCTTGTCCAACCTATTGTCATCCAGACTTCTAGCCGGACTCAAATTGTTTTAATTACTTTGCAGCAGCTGGGAACTCATTTTCTGTGCGAGGACAATCTGTGTTCTGATCCACCGCTGCATTTCTCTACCCAGAAAACATACATTAAAAGAGAACGTACAGTCTCCTTTGAACATCCATAATTGGCCAAAAACAAAAGCAGTCCTCCAGCATGAGCACTTCTTGTGTTACTCAATAAGGTTAAATGCAGGGTAAATTGTAACTCATGCTTTTTTTTTTATCTCCATCTTTCACGTGAGATAGATGATGTCCCATCCCCAACCCCAAGGGAGAGTCTGCTTTAAGTCATTCCTCACCTTCCTCACAGACACAAGAGCTGAAAAACGTCCTTAGAAAGCTCTGGACGCTCATAAACATTAGCACGGGCTGCAGCGATGTGATTTGTGGCACAAACAGTTGTTAAAGAGTTCAAGACTCGAAGCTCAGAGCCAGCGAGGCTGAAGTCAAGCGTGATGTTTTTGAACACTGGGAAGCAGTTATGTAAAAACTCAGTCTCTGGCTCTGTAACTCCTCTGCTTTGTGACCTGGCTTGAAAAAAAAAGTAACCCCCCTCAGGTGCAACAACAAAAAAAACTGTTTCCACCTTCAGATTTCAGCAAGAAAGCAGAGTAAAAGAAAAGGACAGAGGAGAAGGAATGATTTGAGAAAACGTGTGCAGATGAGTCTCTGACCTCCTCCCTGCGATCGGATCCAGGTCTTTGTCTGTACCATCGAATCTGAGCCTGTTGAGATTTGGGGATGCACTCGAGGAAAGTGGAGTTGCTCTGAACCCCGAAGAGAACTCTCTCCTCCACGCGTCCCCCGCCAAGACCTGAAGAAAACAGGACTGTCGTTCATCCAAGAATATGTGCTCTGGTTCCAACAAACACATGTCATGCGTGTTCCCAACAGTAACTGGATAAGTGATGACTACATATACATGTATAATACAGGTTTTATGCACTTAAAAAGAGGATAGATTGAAACTTAATGCCAAATAGCACAAATCCTCTGAAGTACACTTGCACAGAGTTTTTCTAGCTACAAGGAGGTTGTTCTATGAGTTTTGGAGGACTTGCCACAGCTCTTCTGTGTGTTTAGATCGTCTCTTTACACAGACTGTCTCTGTGATTTTGATGTCAGACCTCTGTCGGGACACTACTATCTGTTGCAGGACTTGTTGTTTTTCTTGTCTCTGATGATGCAGACTGGTGACACATGATAGAAAAAACCTGATCCCTTAACCTTTACAGGAATCTGGTGGCCCTGTTGTGTTGTAGGGGGCATTTTGCTGGTATGATTTAGCTCCACTTAGAGCAGAGGTGTCAAACTCTGGCCCGCGGGCCAAATTTGGCCCTCTTTGTAATTATATTTGGCCCGCGAGACAATACCAAATAACTACTAGAGCTGCCCCCGGTATTATACTGTACAGCGCATTCACCGCTAATACTACAAATCCCATAATGCCCTGTTGTTGTTTTGGCACGTCAATCAGGACAGGACCCAGAAACT